AATGCCCTATGGTGTACCAAGAAAGGAGAGAATCCTTACAAGAATATCATAATGCCCTATGGTATACCAAGAAAGGGGAGAATCCGTGCAAGAATATCATAATACCCTATGGTATACCAAGAAAGGGGAGAATCCTTGCAAGAATATCATAATGCCCTATGGTATACCAAGAAATGGAGAATCCGTGCAAGAATATCATAATGCCCTATGGTGTACCAAGAAAGGGGAGAATCCTTGCAAGAATATCATAATGCCCTATGGTACACCAAGAAAGGAGAGAATCCTTGCAAGAATATCATAATGCCCTATGGTATATCAAGAAGGGGGAGAATCCTTGCAAGAATATCATAATGCCCTATGGTATACCAAGAAGGGGGAGAATAAATTATCTGGTTTGTGCTACACTGACTGTAGGTCTATGATGGTTGCTTCCTTGAATGAGGCTCAGATCTGTCCAAGTGTCTGTTAACATTTTGTAAAGGTGGAAGGAGAATTAATTCTCATTCCATGCTACAAATAGAGTCATTCCTCCATTTTGCTCTAATGTGTGTGAATTAAATCCAGTTTTTGTAGTAATGATCTCAACATAGGTTATTTACTTTGGTTATTGACCAAAACCTGGCTTTGAAGTTATTTTAAGTTACAGTCTCCATTGGATTAGAACATATTAATTTTGTAACATTATTATATATCTCATGTTATAGGATGTTTTCAAGTAAGAAATGTGCTTAAACAAAAAACATTTTCTGGAAGTTTCAGTCAATCAAACGCTACAGTGAAGCATGGCAGGAGAGTCTTCGGTACAGGTGTCCAAATTTGGATAGGCTTTCTGGCCTCAGAAGGATCACACTGAACAACAACCCAGATATTGCAGATGATGGAGCAGTAGCCTTGGCTAATGTTCTTCAAGAAGATCTCTGGTTGAAAGGTAAGACAAGTGGTTAGAGTTTCTCATTGTTATAGTTTTTGTGTGGTGTGGTTAGAGTTTTTATCTACTGACTGAATCAGTTGTTTTGTAGACAAATTCTTTAACATACATTTCTATCATTCAGTAGAGATTTATTTTTTGGAAGTCTTACTGAAGTAATTCTTTTAGTTTATTTAATAATTTTGTCTGTTTCTCCAGATACTACTGTCATCCATCACTTGAAGTAATTCTTTTAGTTTATTTAATAATTTTGTCTGTTTCTCCAGATACTACTGTCATCTGTCCATGTACATTTTAGAAGTAGTGGTAGTTTAGAAAGTGAACGTTGAGTTATTTTAAATTTCTCCCTGAAACAGAGTACGTAAAGATCACTTGCTTTGAATACTGATACCATTACGAGTATCAATGGTCAGCACTTGTGTAAAAATTAAAACATCTTTATTGTAGCTGTTAATGGCCTCCATTTGAAAAAGAATCACTCAATCCTAATAAATAAAGATGCTTTAATTATGAACAGAACAATCTGCCACTTATCACAGAGTTATACTAGATTTGGGGAATTCCAATGTTTCTGGATGAGAACAAATTGAAAAACCAAGATTAGGCTTTATACAATGGTGAAGTCTACATACATGTATATGGTGTTTTGAGATGTCTTTTACTCACCACACTGGTGAAGTCTACATACGTGTATATGGTGTTTTGAGATGTCTTTTACTCACCACACTGGTGAAGTCTACATACGTGTATATGGTGTTTTGAGATATCTTTTACTCATCACACTGGTGAAATCTATATACATGTATATGGTGTTTTAAGATGTCTTTTACTCACCACACTGGTGAAGTCTATATACTTGTATATGGTGTTTTGAGATGTCTTTTACTCACCACACTGGTGAAGTCTATATACTTGTATATGGTGTTTTGAGATGGCTTTTACTCACCACACTGGTGAAGTCTATATACATGTATATGGTGTTTTGAGATGTCTTTTACTCACCACACTGGTGAATTCTATATACATGTATGTGGTGTTTTGAGATGTCTTCTACTCACCACACTGGTGAAGTCTACATATATGTACACAGCATGGTCACAAGTAAATAGACACCACCTTTTCAGAAAAAATGAAATTTTTCAGTCATATTCACATGAATTGATATATTTATAATTTAATTAATATCTAGTAGATCTTCGTTTCGCTTCGTGCAGTTCGTTGATCCTTTGGGACATCATGAGAATCATCTCGTCAATTTTAGATTGTGGGATTTTTGCCCACTCTTGCTTCAAATCTTGGAGTAGATCGCTCTTCGAAGTTGGTTTTTTTGGTTGTTTCTTGACTTTACGGTCGAGTATGGCCCAGAGGTTTTTGATGGGGTTCATGTCAGGAGATTGGCTCGGCCAGGG